GCCGCCTTGGTCGTGCTCTTGCCCTGTTTGTACTCTTGTGGATTGGTCCTCAGACCCTTGCCTCAGAGGTCGGACTAGTAGTTCCACCTTGAGCTATTTGTCTCTCACTACGCACTCCTCCCCTACCCAGTCTAGGGGTTTTGTCAAACATATCTTTATATGTTATTTAGCATGTATAGGGTCATACCTTGGAGGGTACAAACTCCTTGGCATATATTGCCATGTATGCTTTCATTTCTATCATTACTTTACGCTAAGAAGAAGCGCGTGGCGGAAACGTGGGGAGTAGGTCTGGGAGCAACCTGCTCTGGTGCTATGTTGTAGTAGGAAAGAGCATAGGAACTAGACATGAGAAGGTGGCAATGTTTTAGGTGCTAGGAGGAGGTTACGAGAGAGAAGAGAGTCAACTAGGAAGGAAGTAAGACACAAGAAGGGAGGTTGTTCCCTTTATAGTAGGATTCAGTAAAGTAGCACGACTATCAATCCTTAAAGTATTTATTATAAGATATATAATTTAACAAGTACTGCATATGTAATAATGGTTTTGAAGTTAAATTTCTCTTTGCTAGTATAATTATGGGCTGCCATGAGGAAGTGTTATGAGAGTTTGTTCATTTCTGTAAGGAAGCAATATTTCCCTTATCAGAGGTTTTAGTTAGTAAGACGTACACTTCTATAACTGGGTTGTCGCGCATCACTGCCTCGAAATTCCAATCGCAACACTCAGGGCCTCAGATTGGTTTTAAGGTACCCTGATTGCTCAGGGGTCCCCCCCCCCCTTGTTCCCTGATTTTTCAGGAGTACATAAAAATTTTCCGCTGAGCTGACAGGGGTGGAAAAAAAATAATTCATGAGTTTACAGGGTTGCACGCTAGAATGGCGCTGGACATGAACACTAGCAATTTTTAGAAACAAGCGTAAAATATACATCATCTACTTAAGCATCCTCCTCCTCATCCTCCTCAGCTCTACTATCATGGTTTTCTCCAGGCATGTCTTCAACTAGTTCCTTTCCGTTGCAGATCTTCTAGGCCCTGCTCTGTGGGGCGCAGCTACACGGCTTTCTCTTCTTATAAGCTCTCCATATCTCTATCACGGCGTCCCAGTCGGCTCGTAATCTAACAAACTCATGCACATTAAATCTCCTAGGCGAGAGTCCTTCAAGGTGCCACGCAGCCGGCTTTTTATGACGTTCTCGCGAGAGAACCCGCGCTTGCACTCCACTGTACTCAAAGGAAGAACCGCCGTTGCACACCAAAGCTTTACAAGGTTGGGGTGGCTGTCCTCCCAGTCCGGTGTCTTCAGAATGGTCGTCAGCCCTGTGAAGAATCCCTCCTCGCCCTGCGGCAGCGTTGCAATGACGGGGGTGAAGTGGGGAATCTCCTTAACGGCCGCTTGCGTGTCAATGCCTGTCAACGAGGTAAGGGGAAGTAAGCCAATCGTGTTAGACTTCGGTGCTTGATGACACAAAATACCACTTGAATTGAGCTAAACCCTTACCTGGTAAGACCTCTTCAGCTCCCTCCGCGTGGTACAGAAGGACAAGGGAGTGCAACCACTCAATGCACTGCTTGATCTTGGCCGCACGTGTCCATTGCAACGGCCACTGGTCGGCACAAAACAGCATGACGCCACTCAACTGCTTCAGGTCACCCAGCCGCTCCTCCAAATTGTTGGCCATGCCCTCTGCCATTGCCATGCACAGCGTGACGCAATCATCGTGCTTCCCCTCGCCCGGATAGTCGATGTCCTTCATGTGCAGGATGAAGCTGAACCGCCACGGGCGACCGTCTGAGTCAATGCCCTCAACGGTGACGCGCCGCGAATCGGAAGGGCCGTGAAGGGTAAGGAACTCCGTGAGCCGGTCTCTCGGTGCCCCGTTGAAGTCGTCGCCGCAGTCGACGTAGCGGCTTAGGAGCAGGGACTTCACGCGAGCGATGGACGAGTGGACAGTGGAGATGTCCAGCTGCAAGGAGGGGGTGGTGCACACAGGTAAGGCACGGAAAGATGTCAGTCCAACAGTTTAGCAAAGACACACAGTAAGTTTACCTGACGCGACTGGAAGATCTTGTTGAGCGTGTTCATCTGCTCAAGCACATCTGCCAGAAACATCAAGAGAAACCAGAAACGATAGCTGGTAACAATGGTATACAGCCTATCGTCTGGGAACTCAGACAGCATCACGATGATTGCTGGCAAAACCTTCACCAACCGTTGGATGGCATCCCCGCGGGAAAGCCATCTAACGTAGTGAATACCCTGCAGCTCAAGCGCCGTCGAGAGGAAGACATCATGAAGCTCGAGAAAGCGTTGATGCCACGGCCTCGAGCGTCTGAGGAACTCAGCGAGCTCTCAGATGACATCGTCGATCATCATGAAGGCAGGGAGGTCATCGGCCGCGGTTTTGGCGGCCAGAGCCTTACTGCGCAAGGACGTGCACAGAACATGAACAGTTGAAGGGAGAGTTAGACAAGTCAACACACACATGGCTACTCGCCAGGCCGAAATACGAATGCAAAAAATCATATGGTTACCGATGCGCTATGCAGTGGCATGAGACGAGGTGACGAATGCGCAGTCGGAGACAAGTAACAAGTCCACACTTCGCGCCCATCATCACTGCTGCCCCGTCAGTGCTGATGCCAAAGATCCGACGAAGATCCACTCCGATGGCCTGGAGGTGGGAGAGCAGCAATGCCAGAAGGGAGGCAGCGTCTGCCTTGTCGACTGTAAGAAGAGCCAGGTACTCCGTGACCACCCGACGCTCACGAAGGAAGGTCGCAAACACGATCATGTGCTTCCTCCGGCACCTATCCGTGCTCTCGTCCGGGCTGGGCCCGATGAACGGGCTCCGTAGAAGATGCTCCAGTTGAGTTGTCTGAAGCCATGTAGCCGTGGCATGCGTGAATTCTCCGAAGCCGTACCTACAAACGGAAAAAAAAATGGAGTTAAAGTAGATGCATTAAAAAACACCACGGACCAGTCATTCAATTTGACGATTCACGAGTTCAGGTAGGTGCCGTAACCTTCATCGGGGACGTTTTTGTAGAACCGAGAGGCGAGGTAGCGTGCAAATGTGATCCACATCTCCATCGGTTCGTTCGTCCTGCAGCATAGGTAGAGAGAATCGAGAAGCGCCGTCAGCCGTTCCTTCTCAAGATCAGGGGCACGGGGATTCTGGTCGATCCTCGTCTGCGTCGTTGCCTCCTGCAACAGAGCAGCCTGCTTCCCGTAGGCGAGACGATGCTTCCCAGTGCTGGCGTGTCTGGTGAAGGTTTGTGTCTGGGCGTCCGAGAGACCAGGGCCACGGCGTCCGCTCTTCCCCGAGAGACCTGCATGGTTCATACACAACTGACACTTGAAGGCCGGGAGGCCTTCTTCAGTCTTGACTAGCAAAAGCCAAGGAAAAGCGTCGCTCCATTTTTTCTTGTATTTACTGAGCGCCTCTGCATACTGCTCAGTCGGGGTTCTCGCCTTCTTTGTAGTCGTCGGCGTGTCGTCCTCTGACTCAGCATCATCGGAAGCGGGGTTGGACGGTGAAGACACTTCGCTAGCCTGTTTGGGCCGCGTGAATGGGAGAACAGGCTGACGGTAGCGCCTAGGGCGCTTAGGAGGTCCACCTGTGGGCGACAGATGCTCAGAAGGAGCGGGCGTGGAGGGACCGGGCTTAGGATTAGGGACATGCTCTATGACTGCAGCGGAAACGGAATCGCCGACGGGTTTTTCGTCTGGTTCTTCCTGGCTGAGACGTGCGGTTCCTCTAAGAGGCATGCGCGTAAGGCTAGATAAATTCGAGAGCAACAGGTCCAGGCCAGTGGTGAGGTCCGCACGCTGGCCATCACCTTCATCACCATCGGCCAGTTCCCCGTCGATTGGCTCTCCCATGACGGGGTGAGACACAGCTTTTGAGGAGCTACCAATTGAAGAGGGAATGGCTACTCGAGGAACGAAAAACCTGGGGGAGATAGGCAAGTATAACAACAGTTGAAGATGAAGATGAACCAGATGGGGGTAGCTTGTGGGAATGGATCGGGGCGCGGCACAGTGACCTTGCCTGCATGCTGGGCAAGGTTCACGAGGAATCCACTCGTAAACGCAGCGCTGGCAGGCAAGATGCTGTGCACACACCAACAGTGACGTCAGTGTGGCAGCAAAATGCAAGGCCGCTGTAAGTTGCCAGTTCTCCATTCGTTGCTATACTTGTGATTTCTTGGTGTCCAACCACGTTACGCAGTCACGTTCTATGCTGGCGACATCTCATGCTGTCAAACACTCGTCGCCCAATCCCTTAGCCGCAGCATATTATGTGCTGGCGGAAAACTCGCCACCACGACGCAGATTTGGGTGGGAGCCTGGTCGGCTCGGCGTGACTGATGGGGAACTCATGGGAATCTCGAGGGGGGGGGGAGGTGGGGGCCTATTACTGGAAACAGGGCACGTCCCCGTTTCTAGGCTGTAACAGTCAGGGCCCACTACCGTTGTTATGCTGGTCAAACAGAGTTAAGTTATTAAACAACTATGATTTATCAGGGTTAACGGAAAAAAAAATCCTAGCACATCAGGGTCAGTACCGACAAAACCTCTGAAAAAACCCTGAATCAGGGAAATTTGCCTGAAATCTGAGGCCCTGACGACACCCAATTACGGTCTCTTGACGAGCCGCATGGATTTGATCCGCCTTGCTGTTTCAATCTTACAAACCGCATGTCTCAGCTCTGCCGAGCCTCGGCCTTGTGCTCTAGGCCTAGCTATGTCCATGCTTCCTATTGTTTTGATAGTGCCTCATTGTATTGTTTCCTCTCTACTCCACTATTTTACACGTTCTTTGGGCTTCATTAAAATTTCCCTCTTTCAAAGGATGGTTATCGTTTGTGATTGGGAATTCAGTAGAGGTTGACTTTCTGACGGTGAGTCTTTTCGTAACGGATCTGGCTGATTGTGAATGGTGGCCGACACTTGCAATACCAGCCGCCACTGCTCTTGCATGTGCTGTGATGACCGTCCTTTGACTCGAGGCCCAGCTGCCAGCATCTATTTTCTTCCAAGCGCGCTCCGTTAGCGCGATTGGACCAAAGCGAGTGACTCGTCAAATGTTGGTCCGAAGCTTCGCGAGCTTGGCTTGGGCTCCACGCACCAGTTTCTCCAGTTCTGTTTGTGTGCTATCCCAGTCTTGTAAAATACTACGGTCAAGTTGCGTGCTGGCGGTATTACTTCAAGCAGGTGGGAAATACGTTTTGTTTCTCGCGGTTTTCCGTGTGCCTCACCTTCTATTGCCACGCCGATCGTGACCCCATTCCACTTTGCGTGAACGCTTTTCTACTAGTCTTGCTGTTGCACCTTCAGCTTTCAGAGCCACCATGTTCATCGAGTGTGGTAATACCGATAATCCTTGCCGGTGCAAGGTAAGGATTCCAACCGGTCTGATCTGAACCGCTCCATTCCCCGTTCCGTGTTTTTTTCCAGCACTTGTCCCTGAACCGCCACCTGACGGATGCATTAGCCCCAAATTACACACAATTTGATTTCCTGGTACTAAGCAACGGGCTAAACTCGGTCTTGATATTGACTTGTACCTGTGACAGGTTGTCGGGCCCACGCTAGCTTTTGTCCTCATGGTAGCGGCAGCGGTGGTTGAATGGCCGGTGGGAGCTGCAGTGTGGATTTGCAGCCACAAGTCAGGGCGGAAGATCATGGGGCAACCAGTGATGACCGTGTACCCGAAAGTGAATCAAGCCATTCCGTTTTAGACCATTCTTGCCTAGTTAGTATGACATAGGTAGGATGGCGACATGGATGATATGAAACGGAACTGTACTGTATGCATTTCTGGAAAGCAGTGCAGTAGTGACCAAGATGCATGGTGGGTGCTGTACTTCTCGTCATTGCCTCATCACAATCAGACTTCAAGATGGGTGGGTACACGCACGGAAACCATGTGCTTTTTCCCATGGCTTGTCATGCGATCTAAGGAACACCCTCTATGGACACGCTGTAAGGTTGGGTCAACCCAGCCCAACCCAACCCGTCAGACAACTGAACCTGATGACGTCAGGGTGGATGGATGAACGGAAGTTACAACCCGCAGTTTATCCACACGTGCAGCCCTGGTACAGGGTTTAGGGTTTCTTGTCCCCTATCCGTTCTGATTGCCTGGCGCTGCCAGCAACTGGTCACCCAAGATAACAGCAAGCCACAACAGTGCACAAGGAATTGGATGACAGCCAAGGTGTTAGTTGTGAGCAGGTTTTCTTCTTGTTACTGAGCACACTAGGATACCGGTATTCACAAGTGAGACGGCGGTTACACTGATACACTACAGTTTTAAACATTAGTCCCTCCCTCCCACTCCCACACCGAAACTTCTGCTACGCGAGAGAAAGAGAGAGAGAGAGGGAGCGAGAGAGAGAGAGAGAGAGAGAGAGAGAGAGAGAGAGAGAGAGAGAGAGAGAGAGAGAGAGAGAGAGAGAGAGAGCGAGAGAGAGAGAGAGAGAGAGAGAGAGAGAGAGAGAGAGAGAGAGAGAGAGAGAGAGAGAGAGAGAGAGAGAGAGAGAGAGAGAGAGAGAGAGAGAGCGAGATAGAGAGAGTGGGAGAGAGAGAGAGGGAGCGAGAGAGAGAGAGAGAGAGAGAGAGAGAGAGAGAGAGAGAGAGAGAGAGCGAGAGAGAGAGAGAGAGAGAGAGAGAGAGAGAGAGAGAGAGAGAGAGAGAGAGAGAGCGAGAGAGAGAGAGAGGGAGAGAGAGAGAGAGAGAGCGAGAGAGAGAGAGAGAGAGAGAGAGAGAGAGAGAGAGAGAGAGAGAGAGCGAGAGAGAGAGAGAGAGAGAGAGAGAGAGAGAGAGAGAGAGAGAGAGAGAGAGTGGGAGAGAGAGAGAGGGAGAGAGAGAGAGAGAGAGAGAGAGAGAGAGAGAGAGAGAGAGAGAGAGAGAGAGAGAGAGAGAGAGAGAAACTTCTATCCTCGTGACCGTTCCCGCTCCCTATCCCGCTCCCTGATGTCCCTGTCCCTCTCTCTCTCCCTCCCCCTCTCCCTGTATCTGCCTGACTCCCTGTTCCTATCCCGATCCCTATCCCACTCTCTATCCCTGCCCCAGTCCCTTTCCCTGTCCCTGTCCCTCTCCTGCACTTCTCTGTCCCTATCTCGATCCCTCTCCCCATACCTGTCCCTGTCTCTCTCCCTTTCCCTGTCTCTGTTCCTATCAGAATCCCTGTCCCTATCCCGATCTCTCTCCCTGTCCCTGTCCCTGTCCCTCTCGGAATATCGGCCCCCATCCCTTTCGTCCCTGTCTCGTTTCCGCTCATGTTCCGTGCTTCTCTCCTTGCTTCCACTGCGCCAGCAACAGAAGCAGCAGCAGCAGCAGCAGCAGCAGCAGCAGCAGCAGCAGCAGCAGCAGCAGCAGCAAGGTAGACAGCAAGGTCAAGGGGCCAGAGATCCAGAATGGGGAGGGCATTCAATTGAGGGGAAGGAGTGTACAGCGTGTGTGCGGGCGTGTGCAGGCGTGTGCAGGCGTGTGCGCTAGACGTTCATACAATCTCTAAGAACACAGAAGAGGCACATGGGAGGGGCACAAGGGAAAGGTGCACATAGAATTAGGTGACACACAAATGAGACCCAAGTGGGAGCAAGAAGCTCACCTTCTCTGGTCGTCACGGCCCTTGCCCCTTGCGCCATGCTCCCCATTCACCTACAGGTCAGACGCCATGGCACGCACAGGCAGTAGCAGACCCTCACCCCATGAAAATCACAACAAGCTGCATGGCCCATGGCCAATTAACCTAGAACAAGAGTGTGTGTGTGTGTGTGTGTGTGTGTGTGTGTGTGTGTGTGTGTGTGTGTGTGTGCACGTGCGTGTTGTGTGTGTGTGTGTGTGTGTGTGCATGTGTGTGTGTGTGCGCGCGCGCGCGCGTGCATGTGTGGATAGAGAGAGAGAGAGGGGGAGGAGAGGGGGAGGAGAGGGGGAAAGAGGGAGGGGAACAGAACAGACCACAGAAGTTAGATCTGGTGCATGAGAGACAGTCACACACTGCCGTACCTCCGCTCGTCCTTGGCTGCCTTCCGTGCCCTCCTGCCCCCCCTCCCTGCCCCCCTCCCTGCCCTCCTCTGCCTCACTCAACCCCATCTCCCTCCTCCTCTTCTCCCTCTCCTCCTCCCGCTTCTTCCTTAGCAGCTCTGCCGTCTCGCGAATCCGAGCATACCCCTGCCCACGGCCCACCAGAGGGAAGGGAGAGGTGGAAGGGAGAGGTAGAAGGGAGAGGTGGAAAGGAGAGGTGGAAGGGAGAGGTGGAAGGGAGAGGTGGAAGGGAGAGGTGGAAGGGAGAGGTGGAAGGGAGCACAGGGGAACAGGTTTGCCTGGGGACGGCGGGCTGTAAGGCTCCTCTGAATCTCAACACGCTTTACCTTGGCATCTCTGCCGCCTTGCGAAAAGGACCATGGCCCTGCTTGTGAGCGTGAGCGAAACAAGGCGAGGAGAGGAGAGAGGAGGTTCATAGTGAGGCGTGTCAAAGGCCCTCAAAACACATGCTGTTTGGTCTTCCCTCTCCCGCAGCAAAGCAGCCTGGCAGACCCGCCCTGATCATAGCAGCCCTGCCAATGAACTTTGAGTCGATGCAGCCGTCGGCATAACAGTCTGGCTGGCAGACCCAACATCATACTCCTGCCAATGAGAGGATCCGAAAACGGTTGCTGGACACTGATAAAACTGCCAACCATCGGCTTGAAACAGAATACTGCTCAGCTCGCACAACAGCACGTCGCAAACGAGGAGAGCCTAAACTCCCATCATGCACCATCCTATGCGCGTACCACCCATCAACTCCACTCCATGGTCTCCAAGCTTCCAACGCAACCCACCACTGGAGCCCCGAGGCCGCATACCAGGTGCTGCTTGCCGCATACCAGGTGCTGCTTGCCGTCGAGGTGTGAGGCGAGGCGCTTCTCCGTGTCCGTGTTGGCCTGCATGGCGCCGCATATCTCACACACCTGCACATCACCAACGTTACAACCGAGAATAATTGGCCATCGCACAGCGCCGCATATTGCACAGCCGCAAATCGCACAACGCATGTCGCATACGTCACACAACTGCACATGCACTGCCACCAGGCCAGGCCAGCCAGTGGCACAAGCATTGGGGCGGCAGTGGGAGCAGCACTGTAGAGGGAAGCCACTACGGCAAAAGCATTGGGTTGCACGTGCACCACCTGTGGGGCTGGGACCTGCAGAGCTACGCCTACGCATACCTGCAGGCGCTTCTCCTTTTGAATGACGGACGAGGCGATGGAGTCAGGCACAGGCGAGCGCAGCAGGGACTCCTTCTCGCGATTCAACGCATCCACCTGCTTTGAAGAATGGAAGAGAGAGAGAGAGAGAGAGAGAGAGAGAGAGAGAGAGAGAGAGAGAGAGAGAGAGAAGAGAGAGAGAGGAGAGAGAGAGAGAAGAGAGAGAGAGAGAGAAGAGAGAAGAAGAGAGAGAGAGAGAGAGAGAGAGAGAGAGAGAGAGAGAGAGAGAGAGAGAGAGAGAAGAGGAGAGAGAGAGAGAGAGAGAGAGAGAGAGAGAGAGAGAGAGAGGAGAGAGAGAGAGAGAGAGAGAGAGAGAAGAGAGAGAGAGAGGAGAGAGAGAGAGAGAGAGAGAGAGAAGAGAGAGAGAGAGAGAGAGAGAGAGAGAGAGAGAGAGAGAGAGAGAGAGGAAATTTTGAGTCGACTAAAAAATGGACTCATTACACACAGGTGAGCACAGGAGGGACTCCTTCTCGCGATTCAACGCATCCACCTACTTTGAAGAATGGGAGAGAGAGGAAGCGATGGGATGGGATAAGGGGGCCGGGGGGTGGGGTTGCTGGAGAGGTTCTGTTTGGGAACGCTGTGCGAGGGGAGACTCCTCTCCGTGATTCCACAATCCACGACCACCTGCATGTGTTGAATCTTGGAAGGGGGAGAGAAGGTAGCGGGACGGGGGGGGGGAGAGGGGCGCTACGTCTGCATTGCAAGTTGAAAAAACGGCAGTCCCTTCCCTTTCCCTCACGTTATGCATCCAACTGCATTCGTGGTGGGGAGGAGGAGGGAGGGGAGGAGGAAATGGGAACTAGAAGCAGACGGGTGGGCCCAGCCTCAACCGCACCATGGTGTTCCCCCTGCCCTACCCACACCTCTGAACGGAACAGTGATGGAATATCTCCTAAGACGTTCAATACATGCCTCGGCCTCGGCCATGCTTCCCCATACCACACCCACCGTACCCGCGCTGCCTCGTCCCCACATTAACCATGCTTTTGCCTTGTGGCGTCGAGCGAATCCCTCCGTACCCCCCTCTACCCCCACCATGCCTCCCTATCCCCCCCCCCCTTCCCCGTCCCCCCCACTCCGCCCTGCCCCCACCTTGCCCATAGTGGCCTGCGCCCGGTCCACCAGCCCCTGCTCGCCCTCCTGCTCCGCCTGGCGCAGCAGCGCCTGCACCTCCGCGGCGATGGCGCTGATCCTCTCCCCGTGCACCGCCGCGCCCTGCCCTGCCGGTAGCTCCTTGTCCAGCCGCTCGTGACACCGCTTGATCTTGCTGGGAGAGGGGGGGGGGACCGTGGAGGGGAGAGAGGGGGCGTGGATGAGATGGGATGGTAGCAAAGGGGTTAGTAAGTGTGTGTTTGAAGCGTCTCAAGACCCCCGTGCACCGCCGCGCCCTGCCCCGCTACCAGCTCCTTGTCCAGCTGCTCGTGACACCGCTTGATTTTGCTTTTAAGGGGGGGTGTGGTCGCGGGGGGGGTTTGGGAGGAGGGGGGGGAGTGGGTGGTTGTGAACTTGGGAGAGGGTGTTCAAGGCGCCTCAGCACTCCCCGTGCACGACCGCGCCCTGCCCCGCTGGCAGCTCCTTGTCCAGCCGCTCGTGACACCGCTTGATCTTGCTGGCAAGGGGGAGAGGGGGGGGGGGGAAGGAAACCGCAGATGGGGAGGGGTGGTAGCCGTAGCCAATGTGTGTGAGTGTGTGCGTTTACAGCGTTTTAACACTCCCCGTGCACGACCGTGCCCTGGCGCCCCCACTGACAGCTCCTTGTCCAGCGGCTCGTGACGCTGCTTGATCTTGCTTGCTGGGAGGGGAGTGTGGGGGGGGATGGGGATGGGGATGGGTGAAAACGAGTGTGCGTGCGTGTTCGAGTGTGTATGCGCACTTGTGTCTGTTTATGTGCGTGTGTGTGCGTGTCGTGCATCCATGCATCCATGCATGCACCCCACCCGCTCACCGCTCAAGATCCGCTATAAGGCATTCCAGGTAAGCAAAGAGCTCCGCCTCGAACTACGCCACCTTAGTGGACCCTAGAAACTCCTCCCTCAATCGGCCCTCGTGCACTCACCGCTCAAGATCCGCTATAAGCCTCTCCAGGTAGGCCAATAGCTCCGCCTCGAACTGCGCCACCTTAGTGGACCCTAGAAATTCCTCCCTTAGCGCGTCGTCGTGCACGCGCGGGCAGGGGCCCAGGTCCGAGCGCGTGTTGGGGAAGAGATCGTTCGGGCAGAACGCCACCAGGTGGTAGCGGCATACCTTGGGGCGCGGGTAGGGGGAGACGGGGGAAGGAAGAGGAGACGGGAATTTTGAGGCGCCTCAAAAGCCGCGTGTTGGGGAAGAGATCGTTCGGGCAGAACGCCACCAGGTGGTAGCGGAGTACCTGGAGGGGAAGGTAGGGGGAGGCGGGGAAGGGGGGGGGGCAGGGGAGGAAGTGGGGGGGGAAGGGTCTGCTTTTGAGTAGACTCAAAAGCAGAAGGCGACTAGATGGTAGCGGGTGATGGGGAAGGGAGGGGGAGGAAGGAGGGGAGCGGCGGACGGAGGTCGGGGGAAGGAAACGGGGGGGGAAGGGGGAGGACAAGGGGATGAGGCGTGCGGAGTGGGCAGAAGGAGACTCGGAGTGGCGAAATGGGGCGGAAAGAAGGCGAGGAGGTTAGGGTGGTGGGATTACGCGCCGCGAGGCCAAAGCGGTGAAGGGCATGAAACAGTAAGGAACGGAAAAGGGGAAGAAAAAGAAAAAGAGTGCCAGGATCGGGTCAGGTTTGCTGCTGGTGAGATGAGAACTTTTTTAAAGGGAAGAAACGCCGTTCAATGCCCATTCTAAGCCGTCCAATCACATTCACTACAGTAAACCCTCATGGCCGAAACTTCAAGCCCATTCCCATTCACTCCCCCTCGGACCAACCTCGGGATCGTCGAATCGCAGCTTCCGTTTCTTCTGATCCAACGGCAGATCCCGGTCCTTCCCCATAAGCTCGTCCAGTAACGCGCGCGCATCCATCGCGATTATCGCCAACCCTCGGCGACCCTCGGCGACCCTCTCACGAGCGACTCTAAGCGCAAGATTACCACCAGGGATTGGGACTATCACGCGAGTCCCTTACGAGACGACACTAACACTATCACCAGCGACGGTACTCCCGAGCGACGACGAGCACCAGAGCCAATACGCGCGAACCTGACGGGCTCTTGTGAGATTGACGAGCAACCGGCGTGCACGCAGACGGTTAGCCGGCAGCTAGTGATTGACACGCCAGCTGCTGACAACTTCATGGAAATGCCAGGTCCCTGAACAGCCGCGTCAAATAAGATCGCCCCTAAGATCGTCCATAAGATCTGCGTAAGCTGCGGGAGTCGAGCTTCTAGCAGATCCGACGACGATCCTAGAGGCTTGCTGTGTGGAGGATGGCGGTCCTCGCTAGAAGGAGACTCGTGTCAACGAACGTAAACGGAAGCCTTTTCTGGGCTCCCATATGATATTTATGATACTTGTGTACCATGCACCAACCAACACAGGCACAGATCGTGCCTGGTCTGGGCTTCTTCGAGATCTTTCGCGGAGCAATGCGAAACGGACGTTTCCGCGACGACGAAACAAGCGATTCCGGTTGCGAAAGGCTAGGGCGAGCCAAACCCGAGGATATTCACAACCCCGAGGGGAGACTTTAGAACGATTCACCGCACTGTATTTCACTCTGAACCGCGCCGTACCGTACATATGTGAAGTCTACCCCAGACGGGTGCTGTGGTTGGTGGGAATGCTAGACTCGAATCTGGTTACCGGAGATACTCGCAGATGCTGCCGAACCTGTACACTACACTATCAGGTTGTCAGTCAACCTTTACTCATACTGACAGCTACACAACACATATATGAGCTACACGTACATGAGCTACATACATAGCCCATACTAGTTACGCAGCATCCTTAGTAGCACTCCGAAGGATCCTGCGAGTGGTATAGCCTTCGACTGGTCGTTCGAGAGAAGCCCCTCGTGTCTGCTCTGCACAAACGACCACGCGATCAGAAGCAGTCTTGAGGTCCACTGATCCCCTCCTGGACTGAGTTGAGTTGCGACCTCAGCAATTCTGCTCGCCACGCAGCCCTACCAACGACAGTCTCGCGGCATAGCGCTCTCTGCTGCTGCTGTTGCTGCTAGAGAGAGAGAGATCCGCTTCGTCCTTTTCCGCATCCTCATCGCTGATCATTACCGCATGTTCCGGGTCGTCACTGGCCAAGACCCACGTAGCTCAATTCGCCGCACAGCCAGACCCACGTAGCTCAATTGACCGTCCTGTAGTCGGATTGAGCGTGCTCTAGTAGCCGAATCTAGAGGAATCGTATTACATCCTTGGAACAAGAAGAGCACGGACCCCCACCCGCGCTCAGGCCACTGGCACCTCCTCCGTGTCTTCTCGCGTCCGTGCCCTCTCACACGCACCCGCATCCTGCCGACGCTTTGGGGGAAGTCTATTTTTGAGCCGCCTCAATAATAGACTCCTGTAGAGGGAAGTTGCAATAACGTTCCCCACCGTCGCCGCTCACGCGCCCACCTGGCTGGGCAAGGCTCTGGATTCTCGTTGCCGCCGGTCGTCACGTGCATCGTCACGTGCATCATCACGTGCATCGTCACGTGCATCGTCACGTGCATCATCACTTGCATCATCACGTGCATCACGGCCATCATGAATCTAGCAGCTGAACTCTAGCGACGGGAATCATCGGCACGGAGTCGGGCTTCCGGAAACAGCCCAGCCTGAAACGCGTCAGCTCTCACCTCTCCCCATCATCTCAGGAGGACCCATACAGGCCAATTACCCCGTGTCGGTCGGCCACCCGAGACCGATGAGCCCACCTGCGTCAGTTAGACCCGGATCGGAGGAGCCACTAGTGGCGGGTCAGTTGACCCAGTTTCTCCTGTTCTCGTCCGGTTGGTGTACGGATACCGTGAGCTGACAGGCTCAGTCAGGTCAGAAGGCGGTGGGCAGCGGTGCAGTGCGGTGGAGTTGATGAACCAGTGGCAAGATGGCGGTCAGATGGGGTCTGCAGGGGAAGGATGGGCAGGCAGGGGAGGGGGAGGGGGAGCAGGAGGGTTGGGGGGAGGAGGGGGAGTGGGAGGCGGAAGTGTGCCTGCAGGGCAAGTGCGCGTGATGGTGGTAGGAGACTCAGGTATGTGTCTGTTTCAGATAGCTGAATTCGCTGGTTAGGTGGGCTCACCACCATAGCAGCTGCACCTCTGTGTGCCGGTTCAGCGCCTGAGACGCCGCAAAACCGCTTTCTACTCTTTCGTGCGCGCACTCAAAGCTCGTGGTTTCCCTCATTCCCTCGTCCTCCCTCAATCTTCCCCCCCCGCCCCTTCTTCCCCCCACCCCCATCACCCCGTTCCTCCCTCTCTACCCGTTGCTGCATGACAGGCGTGGGGAAGACCTCTCTGGTGCATCTCATTCTCAACGGCGAGCCAACAGCTCAGCCACCACGCACAGTCGGCTGCACTGTGGGCGTGAAGGTGAGGGAGACGGCCAGCAGTGGCGGCGTGAACGTGGGTGAGATGATTGTGGTTTGGTCCGTCCGCTCTTTCCTCAGGCTCCTCGAGGATGCACTGTGGCCGCTGTGTACCTTAAATCCGGCTGCATCCAGTCACTAGCTTCCTGCCTCTCGCACACCATCCACCCACCCACCCACACCTCTGCACACCTCTTCACACCTCGTCACACCTCCTCACCTCCTCACGTCCTCGGTCCCGTTCAGGACCTAACGGCAGCACAGTAACGAAATGGATGCCCACTTTCGGCTGCCTCCTGTGCCTTCACAAGCACCCATGCACACCCAGGGCCCCTGCCATCTGTCCACGGCGCCTCAATATGCGCTCTGCCCTCCCCTCTTTCCACGCATCCGCCTGACATGAGTGCTGGTGCAACCTCATACTCGCGTGTGTGTGCGTCGACACTTGAATGGCATGGCACGGAATGATATGGCATGGCATGGCATGGCATGGCTTTGCACGGCATGGCATGGCATGGACAGTACATGGAGTATAACTCCCAGGCACAGCCAGTGGCATTGGGCTCCGCATCCGACCTGCGGATAGAGATGGGCGGTGGCAACAGCAGCAGCAGCACAGGGGCGGCGCTGGGCAGTGGAGGGGGGGAGCAGGGCCGGCGGGGGTTCTTCGTGGAGGTGTGGGACGTGTCGGGCAGCGAGCAGTACAAGTCGTCACGCTCGCTGTTCTACGACCAGATCAATGGTGCGTGTGGGGGGGGAGGGGGGGAAGGGGGGAGGAGCGAGAGCTAGGGAAAATGGAGAATGAGAGGTCCTTTTTTGTACTTGCAAACGTTGTTGCTAACTTTCTTGTGTGGTGTCTGTCTGGCAACTATTGTGCCGCCCGTCTACAGTACCCAAGTTTCTCCCCCTCTCAAAAGCCACACGCCGCAGCCCCGCAGCCTTCAATCCCCCGATGCAACAAACTCAATCTTAATCTCGACCTCAACACCCCAGCTGTCAGCTTTGTCAGCGACCTCTTCAGCGACCTCTCCCGCAGGAAGTCCACTCTAATGGATCAGTCATCAAACACATGCCACACCGCATCCACGCACCCAACCCCACACATACTCTCCCAGACACACCCCAACCCCACACATGCTCTGCCATACACACCCCAAGCCCAACACATGCTTTGCCACACCCCTTCCACCCAACTCCCCCAGGCGTCAACTTCGTGCACGACCGACCTCCCCCGCGAGAAGTCTCGCAGGGGGGACTCTATCTATCTGGCCAAGCACCATCATCTATGCCATTTGCACTCTCCCTCCCCCCCCCTCCACCCCTCCCAGGCATAATTTTTGTTCACGACCTCTCGCGCAAGAAGTCCAATGGAGCAAATACTACCAATAGCACCCATCCCGCCACCATGCCATACCCATCCTACCCCCCCAGGCGTCATCTTTGTTCACGACCTCTCGCGCAAGAAGTCCCGCGTGGCGGCGCTTCAATGGATCGACGAGCTCATCCGCTGCGGCACCTTCTCCGCGCCGTCCCACGGCAACCGCGAGGGGCAGCTACCCGTGCCGTTGCTCGTGATCGGCAACAAGGAGGACATCCGCGAGAAGGACCCGGTGCTCAAGGGGCGCGTGAAGCTGATGAGAGCTGCTAGGAGCAGCCGCACGCTGGAGTATGCACGGAGCGTGGTGGAGCGCTATGGGCTGCAGTCGTTCGGGAGGAGGAAGAGGCTGGAGCTGCCCGAGTATATTCGCAACCCCAGGGGCGCTGGGCTCATTGCAGTGAGTCTAGAGTTCCGCTGCTGCTGCTGCTGCTGTTGCTTTGGTTGGATGCAGGGGCCGAGGAGAGGAAGCAGCAGGATTGGGTGGCAGCACCCGATCCCTGCAGGGACTGGGGGCAGGGAGAGTGGCGAGGATCAAGTGCTGTCTCCAGGTATTCATAGGCGAAGATTAGGGGGAACCATGAGTCCTTTCATCCCCGTCCCTTTTCTCCGTCCCTCCCGCCCTCCTCTGTCCTCTTTCCTTGTCCCTCGCCCACAGTGCGCAAAGCTAGGCCGCTTAGACCTTGCAGCAGTGGACGCTTTCTTCCAGCAGGTGAGCCAGGCAGATCAGGTACGGGTGCAGAGCAGGTACGGGTACAGAGGAGGCACGGGTATAGAGCAGGCACGGGTACAGAGCAGGTAGGGGTACAGATGGCCAAACCCTACCCGTCTCCTTCATGTACCCGTGTACCCTGTTCAACCTGCTCTCTGCCCTCTCTTCCAAACCCGATGTCCCCCCCTACCCTCTTTTTCCTTTCCCCCTTCCCCCCTCCCCCCTCCCCTTTTCCCCCAGCTCCAGCTCATCTCGGAGCAGCTCACCGCCCTGCCCTCCCCTCCCCCCCCCCCCCTCGGCGTTCCTGGAGCCAGCCGTTCCTGTGCGCGCACAGACCTGGGGGGCGAGCTCACCGCAGGCATTCTGCTGCTGCTGCTGCTGCTGCTGTGCTACTAGTGTCTGGTGTCCTCCAGTGTACCATAAGGATGGGCACCTCTGGATCCGCTCCAGTCCCCACTCCCTCACCTCCCGTCCCTTCTCCCCCTCCTCCCTCTCACCCACCCCCCCCTCCCCCCCCCAGCTGATCAAGCGGCGCTACTTCACAGAGCAGCTGACCGCCCTGCCGTCCCCCTCGCGCTCCTGGAGCCAGCCATTCCTGTGTGCGGACCTGGAGGGCGACCTCAGTGGGGACGTGCTGCTGCTGCCCACCTCATCCGACCGCGGGGGCGTGGGGGAAGGGCCGGGGGGGGGAAGCGCAGTGGCGGGGCTGTATCGGTTTAATAGCCTCAGAGGCTCTGATACCAGGTTGGTGATAAGAAGCGGGGAGAGGGAATGGGTTTGTGTGGGCTGTGTGCATGTGTGGGCACGGCATGTGTGGGCAGGCATGTGTGGGCAGGCATGTGTGGGCACGGCATGTGTGGGCACGGCATGTGTGTGCACGGCATGTGTGTGGAGCTACATGGATGTGCATGTGTGTGAGTACATGTGCATGCATGAGTGTGTGTGTGTGTGTGTGTGTGTGTGTGTGTGTGTGTGTGTGTGTGTGTGTGTGTGCATGTGTACACACGCATGTTCATTCGACCACCACTCCCCTCCCCCTCACCTCCCTGCTCACCACTAACCACTTCTCCTCGCCTCTCCTCTCCTCTTCTCCCGCTCCCCCTCTCCCCCTGCCCCCCCTCCCCCCGGCCCACCCTTTCCTCTGTCAGCATCGACATCGAATCATTCGGGTCTCCTGACTACAGGAGCAACCACCATTCCCAGCAGCAGCACAGATACGGCACAAAAGATGATGAGGAAGATGAGGAGGAGGACGACGAGGGGGAGGAGGAGGAGGAAGGGAAGGAGGAGCATGCCCATGTTTGGCGGCAGCAGTGGCAGCAGCAGTGGCAGCAGTGGCAGCAGGAGTGGGTGCATCAGAGTTCCTCCTCCCCTTCCTCTCCTTCAGCCCCTTCCTTGGCCTCTGCTGATCCTGCTTCTCACCTCTCATCTACTCTGTCGGCGTATCCAAGCACCGCCTCTTCTAGCCTCGCCTTCCCAGTTGAACCAGCGCTAAGCAATCATGGTTTCTACTACGGCCAGCAGCAGCAGCAGCAGCAGCAGCAGCAGCAGCAGCATCACCACCAGCAGGCTTCTTATGGCGACCATCTCTTCGCGTCTCTCTCGTCCTCTGCAGTAGCAGCAGCTAGCAGTGGTGGCAACATCAACGGCAATGGCAACGGCAATGGCATTGGCAGTGGCAGTGGCAGTGGCAGTGACCGGGAGGATTGGTCTGTCTTGTTGCAGACAGCAGCAGCTGATGCGGCAGCAGCAGCAGCAGTGCCAACAGGGGCAAGGCTGCAGGGTGGAGCATCCTCTGGTGTGCCTCCTTTGTCTGCTGCGAGCTCAGGGTCAACATTAGGGACAGCATCAGCATCATTGGGTACAGCGGTAGCGGTGCCATCTTTAGCACAACCAGTGGTAGTTGCTCCATCGTCATTACCACCATCAGTGGCACCAGCATCAGCAAAAGAACAAAGATCTCTGGAGCCATCTTTTGCCCAACCAGTGGCAGCACAACCGCCATCACCTGCTGGCCCTAGCTCAGCGTTGTCAGTGACAGCAGCAACAGTGGAAGCACCACCAGTCGCAGCATCATCAGCAGGAGAAGCAAGAAACCATTCAGCCTGTGTACTACTCCCCGTGGCCTCGTCAGCGTCAGCAGCAGTACCAGTACCACCCGTCATTGAGGTATCCACATCATCAGCAGTATCAACCACGTCAGCAGCTTCAGCAGCAGAGCCTGGTAGAGCAGCAGCATCCGCACCAGCAGCAGCGCAAGAAACGGCAAAGACTGCACCAGTGGCAGCACGAGCAGCGCATATTCCTAGTGCACGAGAAACAACGCCAGGTGAGGGCGTGTGCGGCACACATGCATCAAGCGGCGCAGCGCAGTGGCACTCAGGGCAATTCAGCCTGCCGTCGGCACCAACACCACCTCCGGTGCTGTCTGCTCTTGAGGTTTCTCGCCAACGCACTTCCATGCCTGCACCTGTTTGTGCTGCAGCCACGTCGGATGCTGCGAGTATGGGACTGGCGGAGAAGGCAATTGGCACCGCATCTGCAACAAGCGGAGTGGAGAAGTCGGCAGGTGCTGCTGCTGCTGCTGCACCTGCTCCTGCTGCTGCTGCTCCTGCTGCTGCTGCTGATTCAGCACAACAATCACACCATGGGTACAGTCTTTCACAGCGTCAGTCGCATGAACCCACTGATACCACTGAACCCATTGCGCCCACTGATGCCACGGATACCACACAGGTCTCTGAGTCCTCTGGGACAGGTGGTTCATTGGAGAGAGAGGGACGCACTGCGCCGTCTGTGTCGGCTCCTGCAGAACCAACTTGCAGATCTATTGAGAGTGGCGCTAAACCTCTTCCCAAGACTAGTAGAGCTTCCGACACCATTGAGAGCAGTAGATCAGTGGAAGTGCCTGCACTAGAACCAGCCGCTCCAGTAGAACCCTCTCGCAGACCGAATGACACCTGTGCGGCGGCGACTGAAGCACATGCATCAGTCCAGCGACCGTCACTCGGTGTGCAGCCTCCTCCTCTCGATGGAGCTGCCTCCCCAGTGACCGTTGGAGTTACTGAACTGCTCTGTGGCCTCCCACCGGCAGCTTTTGGCTCCCAGGGTTCGGCAGTCCCGGATTTGTGTACGGTAGAAGCAGAAGAAGTACGGGAAGGAAGCTCACTGGAGAGATCAGCAGCAGCAGGAGTAACGCCAGCGCCAGCAGCAGCAGCAGCAGCAATAACACCAGCAGCACCAGCAGCAGCAGGAGGAGGAGAAAGGGAAGGGCGGTCGGCAGTATGTAATGCTAAGTCCCGCAGCGTGTATGCCACTACTCCGGGTGATAATCTGCTGCTGCAGACAGAACAACAACTAGCACAGCAGCAGCGGGCACAGCAGCAGCACGCACAGCAGCAGCAGGCACAGCAGCAGCACGCAGAGCAGCAGCAGGCACAGCAACAGCACGCACAGCAGCAGCAGGCACAGCAGCAGCACGCACAGCAGCAACAGGCACAGCAGCAGCACGCACAGCAGCAGCAGGCACAGCAGTGGCATACACAGCAGCAGCAGCCCCAGCAACGGCACGCTCTGGAGTTGCAGAATCGTGGAGATGATGGAGGTGCGGGAGAGAGTGCAGCACCCGCAGCAGCAGGAGCAGCAGCAGCAGCAGCAGCAGCAGCAGCGGTGCAGTCAGGAGCAGCAGGAGAAGCATGGGCATGGTTTGCAGGGAGAAGAGAACGGCCTGCTGTGGGCTCCGCAGTCAGAGAAGAGGCACAGCATCCAGCTCACGGCAGACAAGGCGCAGAAGAAGCAGAAGGAGCAGAAGGAGCAGGAGGAGCAGCAGGTGGAGGAGGAGCAGCAGGAGCAGCAGCAGGAAGTGTCACAGTTTCAATGTCCACAGCATCATTAACTGCAGCAGGCCGTTACTCACCAGCAGCTGTGCCAGGAGCAGCAACAGGAGCAGCACCAGCAATAGCACCAGCATCACAAGCAGCAGCAGCAGCAGCATCACCAGTGGCTGCACCAGCGGCAGCAGCAACAGAAGCAGCAGCAGGTTATTTGCCAGGATTCTTCGGAGCAGTCAACCCCATGGCGGCTGCAGCAGCTGCAGTTGATGCGGCCCTGGCAGCAGCAGCACGCAGAGCAGGAGTCCGGGTTGCTGTTACCAGGTCACGCAGTAGAGAGGATGAATCAGGTTCTGGATAGGTGAACATCAGACCGAGGATTCTGGGCTGGGGTGTGTACAGATTCTTTTCCTTCAGTACGGTACAAATTGATTCCGATAGATTTCCTCCCTGTTGCTGGCGAGTATAGTGGATGCAGTACAAGCAGGGCCTCAGATTCTCAGAGTAACGAATTGAGGTAGAATGAGGGATACAGGGTGGTTTTATGCTGAGGGGTTGTACTTTCTAAAAGTACGCACCTATATAGCCTATATTAACGTATACATATCTAGCCTACAATAACATATACACCCCCTAGGCTGGATGAGGAGTGTCAAACATAACTTAGTATGTTGCTGTAGACTATACAGGGTTGTGCCTTAGAGGGTACAACAAACTAGCTTACATTGCCTTGTACCCTCCCATTCTAGTTCATACTTGCATTCTAACATGGTATCATGAGTAGGTTAGGTGCCACCCGCCCACCAGCGCTTCCGCCCTAGGTCCTAGCCGCCCGTTCCCCCTAGCCGGCCCCGTTCCCTCTAGCTGGCGCGTTCCCCCTAGCTAGCCCGCCCCGTCACTGGCCCCCGCGCCCGTCCTGTAGCGGCCCGCGCCCGCCCCGTAGCCGGCCCCGTGTCCTTTCCGTTAGATGGCCCGCGCCCGTCCGTTAACCGGCCCCCGCGTTCGCCCCGTAGCGGCCGGCGTCCGCCCCGTAGCGGCCGGCGTCCGCCCCGTAGCGGCCGGCGTCTGCCCCGTAGCCGGCCCCGCGTTCGCCCCGTAGCCGGCCCCGCGTCCGCCTCGTAGCCGGCCCCGCGTCCGCCCCGTAGCCGGCCCCGCGTCCGCCCTGTAGCCGGCCCTGCATTCGCCCCGTAGACGACCCGCGCCCGTCCGTTAACCGGCCCCCGCGTTCGCCCCGTAGCAGCCCGAGCCTGCCCCGTAGCCGGCCCCGTGTTCGCCCTGTAGCCGGCCCTGCGTACGCCCTGTAGCCGGCCCCGCGTCCGCCCCGTAGCCGACCCCGTGTCCGCCGCGTAGCCGACCCCATGTCTGCCCCGTAGCCGGCCCCGCGTCCGACCTTTAGCCGGCCTCGCGTTCGCCCTGTAGCCGGCCCCGCGCCCGCCCCGTAGCGGGCCCCGCACCCGCCCCGTAGCCGGCCCCGCGCCCGCCCCGTAGCTGGCCCCGCGTCTGCCCCGTAGCCGGCCCCGTGTTCGCCCCGTAGCCGGCCCCCGCGTTCGCCCTGTAGCCGGCCCCGCGCCCGTCCCGACGCGGGCCACGCCCGTTCCGTTCACCGGCCCCCGCGCCCGCCCTGTCCCCGGCCCCGCGCTCGTCCGTTCCCCGGCCTCGCGCCCGTCCGTCACCGGCCTCCGCGCCCCTCTGCAGCCGGCCCCCACGCTCGCCAGTCGCCGGCCCCCGTACTTGTCCGTTGCTGGCCCGCACCCGCCCCGTCCCCAGCCCGCGCCCGTCTCCGCACCAGGCCCTGACGCCCGCCTGCACTGCCCTGCACCGCACTGCACCCCGCTGTACCGCACTGCACTGCACTGTACCGCATTGCACCGCGCTGTACCGCACTGCACCGCACCGCACCGCCCTGCATTGCACCGCTCTGCACCGCACTGCACCGAACTGTACCGCACTGCGCCACACTGCACTGCTCTGCACCGCACTGCGCCGCTGCTGCATCGCTCCTTATGGCGGACTCTGTGCTACGGTTTGACGCGGAGGGTCAGCCAATCGAGTTCGACACGTGGCTCGTCGACCTCCGCCGTCACCTCACAGGTCAGTGGCAGGACGGCCACTCCTTGGCCGTCCACCTTGATGGTACGCTCCCCTGTCCTGACCCCCCCGCTCCGCTGCCCGCTGACCCCACGTCTGCTGATAGAGAGTCCGCCGCAGCTGCTTCCCTTGCCCGTTCGGTCTGGTTGTCGCGTGACGCTGTTGCACAGCTTGCCATCAGTCATGCGCTTCCCCTGTTTGAGCGTCCCCGCTTTAGGTCTATCAGGACCGCACAGGAGTTTCTCGATGCTGTCATTGCTCGCTATTCCACCCCGTCCTCTGCCTCCGTAGGCCGCCTGATCTTGCCCCTGCTTTTCCCTGATCTCGCGTTGTTCCCCACTGTCGCTGACCTAGCCGCCCACTTGCGCACGCTAGACTCGACCTGGCGCTCGGCCTGTACTGAGGCCCAGCTCACTGTGTTTCAGCCCCCCCTCCGGCATGCCCTCTACCTGCTTGCCACCCGCCTCCCTGACCGCCTTGCTACTGCTCGCGATCACTTTCTCAGTCTCCACCCCGCAGACCTCACCCTCACTGATTAGTTGACACCCTGTCTGCCATAGAGACCCGCCAGCGCTCTATCGCACAGTCCAGCGGTACAGTGCCGGTCTCTATCTTTCAGGGCTGTGCGCCCGCTCAGTGCACTTTCTCTGACGGCTCTACTGCAGTGGCCGAGACGGCCGTTGCAGTACAGGCCCGTCCAGGAAAGGGCCGCCGCCCCAAGGCTGGGCGCGGCGGTGGTGGTGGTGGGGGTGATTGGGGTGGAGGAGGTGGTGGAGCCGGGTCCCCCTCTGGGGGTGCTGACGAGGGCCCTCGGCCTAGCACCGCCGAGCAGCAGCAGGTCCCCTCACTCGACCAGCAGTAGCAGCAGCAGCAGCAGCGGCGGGTTGGTCATCTCCCGCCTGGGTGGCCCGGCGCTGGTGGTGGTGGCGATTGCGGTGGTCGTGCGCGCGGCGTGACGCCGGGTGGTGGTGCGGGTGACGGGCGCTGCCAGTACCAACTTCAGACCGGTCCTCGCCGTGGCCTCGTGTGAGGTAAGACCAATCACCCCACCACTCGCTCTTTCAGTTGCCTTGACGACCTGTTTCGTCTTCAACCTGGCGCCCGACCTCCCCGACTGGCTCAGCTTACTTTGTAGGGGTGTTCAGGTCTTTGATATGGACATGGATGAGATTAGCTTTGCGCTGTATGTTCTGTATGTCGATGACTCTAGTGTGATTGGTTCCGCTTACCCCGTGTTGCCTTGTGTAGGAGTGCCTAGCTTAGACTCCCCTGCTGCGTCAGGCATAGGATCTCCTACTTTGTATAGTCTAGGCTCCTCCGTCGCTCCCTCGACCCCTCCTGCCTCTGCTGCGCTTTCCTTCACCCTGGACTCCGGCGCTTCCCGGTGCTTCTTCCGGGGCTCCACTACTCTCACGCCGCTTGGTGCTCCCACCGCTGTTTCCCTGGCTGACCCTTCCTCAGGCCCTGTTGTAGCTCGTAGCTCCACTACCCATTCCCTGTCCGGCGGCTCCTTCGGGCTCCCTTACAGGCCTGCACATCCCCTCATTCTCTAGGAACCTAGTTGGTGTCGGCTGCCTCCAGGACCTTGGCGTCACCACTACGTTCCCTGGGCACGAGCGGTACGCTGTCTGTACCGAGGCCGCCACCGGTGCTCCCCTCACCACGTTCCCCCGGGACCCGGTGTCTGGCCTATTCACGCTGGACACCGTGCCCCCCCCGGTTGGGGCGTTCTCCCAGGTGCCCGTGTCTCCTCAGGTAGCTGCGGCTTGCTTGTGTCGGTCCCTTACTCACCCGACACTCCTGTGGCACCACCGTCTAGGTCACCCCACCCTCCCTCGTCTTCGTCACATATCGCAGCACGGTCTTGTCTTAGGACTTCTTGGGTCGTTCCCCGAGCTCCCCTCCTCACCCGCGCCGCCGTGCACCCCCTGCGTTGAGGGCCGTCTCCGCCATGCCCCTCAATCCTCCTCGTTCCCCCCCACCACTGCACCCTTGCAGACCTTGCACATGGACGTCTGGGGCCCTGCCCACGTCCATGGGCCGCGTCGTGAGCGTTACTCCCTCGTCCTTGTTGAGGACTACACTCGTTACACCACCGTGTTTCCCTTGGAGCGGAAGGCCGACGTGCATGACGTTCCTATCCCGTGGCTTGTCTCTGCGCGTGTGCACCGCGGTCTCCCTGTGTTGCGTCTCCACTCTGACCGCGGTGGCGAGTTCGCCCCCGGTTGTCGTGGTCATTTTTGTCGTGCGGAGGGCATCACCCAGACGTTCACCTTGCCGGTTACTCCCCCCCTGTTCCTCGTCCCTCCTCCAGTCGCCCCTGCCCCCCCTCCTCCCCACCCTGCCCCGTCTGGTGTGTCTCACGTTACCCCCCTCCCGTCGGTTGTCCCGGTTGAGGAGTTTGCTGACTCAGGTGGCCCTACGTCGCAGCCGCAGCCGCCACAGTTGTCGCCACCGCGATAGCAGTTCGTGCCTTCTGGGGGTGCTGGTGTTGAGGAGGGTGCTAGTCTTGGGGCTCCTGTCGTGGCTTGTCCCGGCAGGCCTGGGGGTGGCACCGGTGCGGAGCGCGCTTCTGGTTCCGGGGGTGTTTCGACTGGGGATGCCGAAGTGGAGTGTTCCGGAGGTAGTAGTGGAGCAGCTGGCAGTCCAGGTATCGGCGTCGTGCAGCCGCCGCAGCAGCAGTCGCCGCCGGTGTCGGCTCTTCGCCTGCTCTGCCTTCCCTCCCTTGACCGCGCGTCTCCCCCTCTTCTACCGTCTCCTTCTCTTCCTATTTTCGACCCTGTATTCCTTCCTCCGGACTCGTCTCTGGCTCGCCCTCCCCCTTGTTCCCCTCTTGTTACCCCTCCTCTGTCTCCTGACCCGACGCCTCTGTCTCACGTCTGGTCTCGCCGTCCCTCTCGGGCTTGACCTGTCTCTCCTGTTCCTCTTTCTCACCCTATATAGCTTCGCTCCCACGTGTCTCGTCCTCCTCTCCTGCCGTCGCCTCCTCCATCCTCCCTTGTCGCCGCGCCTCCCCCTCTATCTGACTACCTTCGAGCCACTCGTCCTCTTGTTCCTTGGGTCCTTGCCTCCCTCGCTACCGACCCGTCTGTTCCTCTTTCGCGTCTTGACGCTCTTCTGGCTTCTGTCGCTGACTTTGCCTCTACCCGTCGTCTTGACTACGCCACCGCTTTGGTCTCTGACCCTGCCTGTCCTCCGATCATCGGGGGTGCTCTTGCCCTCATTAGTGACGTCTTGGAGGATCGGCAGTATGAGCTTGCTTTCCTGTCCGAGGCTGCTCCCCATCTCTACTCCATGCTGCTAGTCCCTGAGGGTGACCCAGACGCCTTTGACATCCTGACCGCTTGCACCTACGCAGAGGCCACCTCAGGACCCTAGGCCTCTCAGTGGATAGCGGCCACGGAGCAGGAGATGGCATTTTGGAGATCCACCGGCACCTACGTCGACGCAGTTCCCCCACCTGGGGTGAACGTAGTCGATGGCCGCTGGCTCTTCAAGGTGAAGCGCCCCCCCTG